AATAAAAAAGATACATCAAAAGAGAAGTCTGGAAGTGACCCTTCCCCATCAAAAAACCAATGTCTTAGTTTTGCTCTCTGTTGCTATGATTAAAATATCCTGACAAAAACAAGTTGGGGGAAACAGTTTATTTTAGTTCCCAGTTCTAAGATACAGTCACTCATAGTGGAGAAGTCAAGGCATCAGGAAGTTTTAACAGTCACACTACACCCATAGTCTAGCAGAGAGCAATACATTAATGCATGAATGCCCAAGCACAAGTCACTTTGTCCTCATACAGTGCAGGACCCAAACCTCAGAGATAGTGCCACCCACAATGAGTAGGTCTTCTAACCCCAATTATCCTAATTAAGACAACCCCCACAGACATGCCCACAGGCCATCTCAGCCTAGTCAGGCCCTCACTGAGACAGATCCTCCTCCAAAGTGAGTCTAGATCATATCGAGTTGACTTTTTAAAACCAACTATTACAGATACTTCCTGTGAGAAAAACATTAGATTTCTCTGAACTAAGGAACAGTCTATGAAGTATCTGACCAGAACTCCTTGGAACTCTGAAGGCTGACAAAATGTAAAAGCCTAAGAATGATTACAGTCTAGTGAAAACTTTAGAGATACAACAAGTATTATTCCTAATTACCATTATAGTTGCAACAGGGAAAAATTAAGTAAAAACCAAGGAACTCTGCAGGATACATAAGTGACTCAGTGGATAAAGGGCTTGCTATGTAAGGGCCTGACTTTAAGCTTCCAGGACTTACATATAAGCCTGATGTGCTGGTCTGTGCCTATAATCCCAGTGCTCCTATAAGGAGATAGAGGATGGAGACAAGAGAATGCCACTAGTCTGGCATGTAAAACTTTGGAGTGTTGCTCTTTGCCTTCTACTTTGTATAAGACATGATTTCTTGTTCTCTGTTGTATATGCCAGACTAGCCTGCCTAGTGTTATTCTCTTGTGTTTGATAAATCCTCAGCAGTTTTAGAATATAATTCCTATCTTTTAAATAATAACATGAAGAGAAAATTGTTACATGAAAACGTATTGAACCTAAACAAAAAATTAGGGGTTGGAGAGATGGCTCAAAGTTAAGAGCACATGCTGTTCTTGTAGAAGACCCTGGTTCCATTCCTAGCACCCACATGGTGGTTCACTACCATCTATGACTCTAGTTGCAGGGTTTCCAGCCTCCAGGAGCACCAGGTATGCACATGGTGAACATGCAGATGGACAAAACATTCATATGAATAAAATAAATAAATCTTGAAATTTTTAAAATATGAAAATGAAAGGAGTAGCCTTTATAGATAAGGTAAAAACTGGGTGTGGTGGCTCATGCCTTTAATCCTAGCCCTTAGGAGGCCAAGGCAGATGGAACTGTGTGAATTTGAGGCCAGCCTGGTCTACACAGTAAGTTACAGGACAGCTAGCATTACACAGTGAGAACCTTTAAAAAAAAAAAAACAAGGTAAAGAAATTAATGAAAAGGGTATTTAAAAATCCTGATTGGACTTTTATATCTAGTTAACTATAGTAGTGAAAAAATACAGACAGCTCCATTTGTTCCCTCAAGTCCTTCCTAAGCCACATTGAAAGGACTATTAAGTGAGTCATAACTCCACAGGAGAAAGATAGTAACAATTAATTTTTAGAGGTAGCAAAGGAGGCACTAGTTGTAACAGTATTGACTTTTGTCAGCAGCCCTGATAGCTGAGAAGCAGCCTGGTTGGAATCATTGCAGGTTCTCTGAGAGCTGGAAGGATAGCCATGTTAGGAATCTACAGAAGCAGGAGGCAGTGATGGAGCTGAACACAGGAAGCCATTTGAGAACTTGTAACTGGGCACAGTGCCTCTTATAGAGTATAATGCCAGCACTTGGGAGGCTGAGGCAAGAGAAGTGTTGGTAGTTCAGGGCTCGCCTGGATTATAGAGTGAGACAACCTAGGGTAAAGAACGAGTGAGATGCAAAGAAAGAAAGAAGCATACAAAGAAGAAAGAGAATTAATTATTACTGCCCACAAGCTGCTGACTGTATTCTAGAAGATAAAGTAGATGACAGTGTTTCTGGACTGTGATCACCAGTGTATGACTAAGTACAGAGATGCTGTCTTGAAAAAAAAAGTCATTAGATTAGGTAAGGGTTTACATACTTTCTCAGCAAGAGTGAGTTTTTTGGGAAAATCATTTCCTGGAGTTTGAGTTCTAGGGAAAATAAGAAAACAACCAGGCGTGACAATATGTCCCTGTAATCCCAGGAATCAGGAGGCTGAGGAGGCTAGAGAGTTCCAGGACAGCAATATGCACATACAAAATAAGTAATTTTTAAAGCCTTAATCTACAATCCAAAATATCAATGTGGAGAATGTGATGGAACTCTGAAGACATGCCTACTAAGTTTCCACTGAGCCCTGAGCATGTGGAGCAGTCCTGACCTGGAAGGTGCCACAGGCTGGAGTTGTTACTCCGTGGGTACAGTGCTGGCCTAGTATTTGTGAAGTCAGAAGTTTGATCCAAGAAATGAATGTAGAATTCAAGAAATGAAACAAAATAATTAGGTATTTAAAGATGTAGATATGTGAATGGCATCTGAATCTGGGACATTAATCTGTGTGAGAAAAAGATGGTGGGAGAGAAGAGACGCATTTTGTAGGCCCTTGAGTATTTGAAGGCCCACGAGACGCAGAACTGGTAAAAGAGGGAAACCAGGTACATGTCATACCTGGGGGTCAGATAATGAAGCGTCTCAGGAAGGAGGCCTAATTGCACACATCAAAACTGCTGGGGACTGAAAATGAAATGCTCTATCTAAGCACCACAGAGACTATTGGTGATCTGCTCAAGAAAACACAAGTGAGATAGAGGGACTGGAAGACAGTGAGGGCTGAGTTTTTGATACAAAGAGCAGTCTTTGGGCAGTCTCCAGTGTGGATGTTTGCAAAACAGAATGAAAACTCTGGGCTGCAAAGGTTTGGAGAATACTCCTCTCCACAAGATATAAAAAGGTAGAACTGTAGGAAAAGGGTATATGGAAGACGTATTCCTTGCTCAAAGAATGAGAAGTGAGAAAATATCATGTGATGCATTTGCTTCTATAGAGAGTGTAGGGGTAATATTCTTGCTATGATGTAGTACTCTTGACTGCCTTAAATTATTTTTCTCTCTTCTCTAAAAGAAAAAAGAAAAATCAGTGGGCTGGCAAGATGGCTCAGAGGGTAATAAATACATGAGTTTGATCATCAGGATCTATTTAAGAGGAGAGAACCAACTCCCAAAAGTTGTTCTCTGATCTTTACACATTATGGCATGTGCTTTGCACACATATAGAAATATATAAATAAATGAAAATCATCAAAACAATTTAAGGGGTCAGCAAGGAATGGAACTTAACAGGAAAAGGCCCTTGCTACCAAGCCCAAAGACCTAAGTTAAATTCCCAGGACTCATGTGGTAGGAGTGAACTGACTCCTATAAGCTGATCACCTGAGTGAGACTTTCCTGGTTGCCTGTTTTCATGGTACATGTACACACCCACACCCACCCACCAGCTTCTTTCACAAATGCATTAACAAAGTAACAGAGACAAACATAGAAGCAAAATCCACAGGGTCATGATTTTAGGAAGCATGAAGGTTGGTCAGTTTGGTCTTTCGTAGCCATCCTAAGCGACAGGTTCCCAAAGAACAAATTTCTGTATCTTCAGTGACACTTGTACATCATTGAATTCATTAGACATTTGTTTCAGAGTATGAAACTTTAAACCTCATAATTGCCTGTGTGTTGGAAGATGTGCTTGTGTTTTGGGCTACTAGCACTATCCCTTTGTCCCAGGGCCTTTGCCCACATTACAGCACAATCCACTTGCTCAGTTTGTCAATGTATGAATCATATGCCACTGCATGCTTAGTATATTTAGCTCATTAAAAAAATGCAAATGTCAGCAAAATACCATCCCTTACCTAGTAGAATGGACGCAAAACTTGAAACTGTCATAACCAAGTCCTAGTAAGGATATGGACAAGTGGCACTTTTGTACTCCACTCAGGGTGATGCTGACTGTACTGGTTCATGGAAATGCCACTTCAGAAAATGGTCACAGTCTCATTTCTTCACTTTGACATGTACTGAGCATTCACTTATGTTACAACCCAGGATCTCACTCCTGTTATTTACTAATGAGAAATGTTGATATATATCCACCCAAACACCTGCATGTGAATGTCCCTGGCTATTTTATTCCTAGTTACCCAAAATAGGAAGCAATCTAAATGTCCTTCACCATATGAAGAGAAGAACTATGCTATATCTCAAAATAGAATGTTAATCGACAATCAGAGGTAGCAGACTCCCAATGTACACACTCTAATGGATGAATCTCTAGTGTAAAAGAAACTGGGCAGAAAGGCTAATTACTAGAATTGAATTTATAAGAGATACTGGAAGAATCAGACCTGTAGGAACAGATTACAAAGCAAGGGTGTAAAGAGCTTAGAATTAGGAATGGAGCTTAATTGTGAAAGGGGTGCTCTTCAGACTGGTGGACCTGAGCCCTGTCCTGGTTATTGGGGGGATGAATGGTGACTGTTACATGACTATGTGCATTCCTTAGACCTAAAGAAGGTGAAACTTTCTTGTATGCAAACCATCAAAACCTACACAAATGTCTCTCCACCTTGAGACACTTGAGGTCTTCTACTGTCATGGCGCCCATCCTACTCGAAATCTCCCTCACCTTCTTGCTTGCTTCATAAAATCCTTCACAGGATCACCATAGACATACATGATTTCTTGTTGGGTTTTCAGTTTGAAGGATCAAATGTTTGACCTTTATTGACCTATTCTCTTTTTCTGTTCTATCAAATTCTCAACCATTTTTTTAAACTTAATTACTTTACTGAGAATTCATAAAATTTAAGCACATGTCATATCCAGTAAGACTTTGAAACTATGATGATGAAATTAGGATCATGTTGACAGAGTTACTCCCATACTTTTTCCACAGATAGCAGAGAATGCCTTGCAGATGACTGTAGTATAATTGCTGGAGGGAACCTCACTGGCTGGCACCCAGACTCTGCTGCTGTGTTATGGAGAAGAGTCTTGGGAATCCTTGGGGATGTGAATAATATCCAGTCACCGAAGATCCATGCCAAGGTTTTTGGCTATCTCTATAAACTGTGGCACAAACTGGCCAAGGTGTGTTCTGCTATTACCTTTTATACTAATCCAGAAAATTTAACATACAAACTACTGACTATGTTCTGAAATACAGATTATGTATTTAGATGAAGTACGTTTGATTGCCCAAGAATAAGTGATAAATAACATCTGTAGTTTTAATACTTTATTAAATGCCTGAGAGTTAGTTCATTTATTACAAAGGTATATTAGTAGAAGATATTAAGAATAGGATACTGTGTGGCTTCATTATTCATTTTAGTAAAGTAATACTATTTTGATTGTGCAAAATTAGGAAAATGTAGAAAAGCACGAAGATATTTGTATCCCCATTTTATAGAATAACCAATATTGATATCTAAAATATATCTATTTACATGGATAAAGACATTTTACAAAATAAAGTCTTGGAGTAGCAACAGTTTTCATCCTGTCTTTTGTTTTAATACTGAATATACATTTCCCATCATTAAATGTTTTTCTAAAAGATGACATGTCCATATAGCATAATTTATGAAATAATTTCTTACCATTTGGAGTTCAGGATCTCCATAGGTATTCACATGCTAGGAAAATCAATACCATTCTTTTGTGTTTAAAGCTACAACTACATGCAATAAGCCAGACACAGTCTAAAAGGACAAGAAATTTCGTAATAAAAAAGTGGTTTCTTGGCTATGCAAGACGATATTACTATATAGTTGTAATAACTAGAATGTTATCTTGCCTAAAATTCTCTTTTGAATTAGATACGAGATAATCTAGCAGTAAGCCTGGATAACCAGTCATCTCCATCGCCTCCGCTCTTGATCCCACCACTCAGAATGTTTGCATCATGGCTATTCAAGGCAAGTGTTTATTCTTTTATTGCAATTTCCTCTTCCCTTCTGAAATTGAGTTTAAAAACTGTAATTGCCCAAGACTGCATGTTTTGAAGACAGGCTGGGTCTTAACTACAGTCAGCACATCCCACATCTCCAAACAACTCTTCAGGAAAACTGAGAAGTAAATGAAATGTTGAAATGCTCTGCATCTGGACTTGATTTAATCTAGAAACATCATCTCCTTGGCAGGCTACAACTCTGCCAAATGAATATAAGGAAGGCAAACTGCAAGCCTACAAACTGATCTGCGCCATGATGACCAGACGCCAGGATGTTCTGCCAAACTCAGATTTCCTGGTGCATTTCTACCTTGTGATGCACCTGGGATTAACCAGCGAGGACCAGGTATCCTGTGATTGTTTTATCATGGTGTACCATAACAAGAAACTGCTATCCACACTTTAGATGTATCAGGGCTTGTGAAAATATACCAGAATTGCTTAAATCCTCAGTGGCTTTTACTCTTCACACATAAGGTCTTTAAAAGTGTAATCAGGGCATTCCTGCTTCCTCCTCTCACTGACTGCATTCACCAACTAAATCTGAATTTTATCCTGTGATCCATATGATCCACTCTCTGCCTTTGTTATCAACTTCAAAGTGCCATCTCAGCTATATTTCCTCTGTGGTTCTGGCCGATTTAAAAGTATATGGAGATACATATTTCAGTAGTTGGATTCTTTTTGTGAGGTACAATCTCCTATGAATTAAGGTTCTTGGCATTTCTTGATGTGGAGTTACTTTTATTTCTTTCAAGAAATAGAAGTTTTTGTTTGGTAGGAATAAAAAGACACAAGGCTACAAAGCTACAGTCCCATCTTTGTAGACCCTGGATCTAAGATTATTGGATGTGGCCAGTACCTGGTCTGCCTCCCTTGGGAAGTCTCCTACCACTTGTGAGGGACAGGAGGAGAGATGCAGATAGGCATATGGGCTTTTGAAAACTGTTCTTATTATATTTACTTATTTCTTTTGTATCTGTTGAGGTATGTGGGTGTGGACATGTGAGTGTCACAGCTCAAGTATGGAGGCCAGAGGACAACTTGCAACAGTCAGGTCTCCTTCTGCCATGTGGGTGCTGGGGATTAAACTCAAGTCATCAGATTTAGCACCAAGCTTAACATTTATTTATTCATTTTCCTTTAGAATGTATTTGAGTCTTCCCAGTGCTTGAGAAGTGGTCACCAAATTCTCTGGTTCCCTGATACAAACTTTGAGCTATACTCATTGAGCTTTGTTCTGATTCTGTCCTGATGAATGTTTCCTCTGAGCAGCGTTAGTAGACATTGCTAATAGCAGCTGAGCTTGGACCCATGGCCTTGTTTCTTTTTTTAATAGATGTTTAAGTAGGGACATTAAGTACAGCCACTTGTATTCTCTGCTTAATAATTTCCAGCTGCCCTTGCAGGAGGAAGCCCCTCCTACAGAATGATGTAGTGCAGGGCATATGGAAGATTAAGGGGTGTAGACAGGAAAGAAAATCAACTGTAGTGAGCTCCCTCAGCTAAAGAAAGTTGACTTTACTCTGTGTTCAAGTAGTGTTTTGATAAATTTTTTCACAGAAAAAAAATGATTTGGAATAATGATCAACTGTAGATTTTTTTGATATAATGAAAACAAATCTGAAATCAGCACAAAGCAGTGGTTCTTAGAATGATTTTTTTGAAGTCCCATAAAGAGGTGTGAGTTTAAAATCCTCTTTCTGTTTGAAGGTTTGTTGGTGTGAAAATGAAACAATAAAATATGAAATAAGGATTATAGTATTTAAGAACTCTAAGTAGTATGAGTATATTTTATGAATTGTTTTAAAAATATTTTACATTCAAGAAAATGTTGAAATTATATACTAAAAATTGTCTTCACATTTTAATGTACATCACATTTTCAATTAAATGAAGACAGTGATCTTTTGTAGATTTGTTATAAAGTAATGTAAATCTTAAAAGACAGCCCAATGCCAGCAGCAATGCTATCATTGCAGACTTTAGGACAGAATAGGGATATCATACATCTCAATTCTATAATCAACCTATTGTGCAGGCCAGTAGGAGCCTGGATTTTTATGTGGCTTTAATAGAATTAACTGTTTTACTTTAACCTTAACAATTATTAGTATATATCTTAGAAGCCCTAACTGTCTGCCAAACAGAATTACCCTAAGTGAACTTCATTTTTTTCGCCAGAAGAAGCTTACAGAGAGAGTCCTAATGAAAGAAACCTTTCTCATTTAAGTAAGAAATGTCTCTGGTTAATTAGTTTAACTTTTGGCCCACATGTCTAAATAGATCATGGTGGTTGTTTTAGAACTTACATGTACTTCTAGAAACACATGCTATATTCATTATAAAAAGGAAAAGGAAACATTTGCTGCAGAGAATACAGTTATATTCAATTTTTTAATTGGTAAGCCAAGCACCTGTGGTTGTTACCATGTCGAGGTTTTTTTTTTTTCCATTATGTGAGAATCACAAAGAACTACACTTTCATGTAAAGGATTTGCTTATAAAGAAGAGAAGTCTAAAAACTATCCTTTGTTTTGAAAATAAGTAATAGCAAATATATGTATGTTTAAATTTAACCTCTACTAGTTTTGTTTTACAAATAAAACACAAGCTGTGTTTTCTCCTTTGGCCTCTGGGTGGCACCCTTGTCTGCTCAACCCAGCCATGTGGTTTAAAACTGCTGGATGAGGCAGAACCCTGTGATGAATGATAGTGTGTACAATGTGGTGTTTTACAAAATGTGGTCCTAACTCTGGGAGTGTTAAGATTATGTCAGTAGTGCTCAATAAGATGCTGAGGTATGAACAAGCACTAAGAATTAACTATCCTTTCAAACATAATGATGCTTGAAATAATTGAGACATTCAAGTGTCAAAATCATTCATAAAATACATACCTCATAAATAGCCTTCTGTTCTTGTGTACATTCATGTAAAAACATGGCTTTATCTAAGATACCAAATTTGTTATGTAAGTCACACAGCCAGAATGCCAAATGTAGTACTTCTAAAACAACATTTGTAATAGTGTTAGCTATCTTATTAATTTATTTAATATCCAACATAATGGCCTTATCAAATAGCCTTTCTCTCTCAGTATAAATGTAATGTTGGTTCATAGTTTGTCTGCATGATTGAAAAAAAATCCATAAAATGATGGCTTTTTTCTCCCCATGATAAGGGGTTTTTTCTTCCCCCATTTTTTTTTTTTTAAGACAAGGTCTCACTGTGTAGCCTTGGCTGTCCTATAATTCACTATACAGATCATGCTGGTCTCAAACTCATAGAGAACCGCCTGCCTTCCAAATGCTGGGATTAAAGGCATACACCATTATGCCTTGTCCTGAATTCTTTTTAAACAATGTTAATCTTGTTACCAGTCCAAAAATAATTAGGATCATAAGCACCTTCACTAACTCTTTGTGACTTGCAAGGTTACTTAGCCTGTGAAGGCTCTTCCTTTGGCCTCCTCTGCTCAGCTTCATGTGCCTTGTATATTGGTGTGGGGGCGAAGTTGGAGGATGTTTGTTCTCCTAGATCTACAATGCAAGACTCTGTACCAATAACAGTGTGATGTCCCACTGATTCTTCCCCACAGTTCACTTGGATAAATAGCACATCCTATTTTACGATTAATGAAAGTTCAAAACATCTTGAGAATTTTTGCCAAATGTTTTGTATTCAAAAGGTTGTTAGAATTTGAGGAAAGGTTTGACTTACCCATTGGGCATGTCTTACCCATTGATTGACAGCTAACATGCTGGTCAAATGTTCCCTTGTTTTATTTTGCCTGGCTATAGTCCTTTCCACTTCATAGTCATTAGAGTCCCTTCTGACTTGCAGATACCTTCCCAAGTAGTTGTCTTCCTAGCTCTGGTTTCTCTTTTAAAGCTGTTCTTGGTTGTTCTTAGTTTGTCCTAATGTTTAAGCAGCTTTTTCACCTCAGTCTTCCCCAAAATATTTTGACATGAAAGGAATTATGATTTGGATTTATTAAAAACATTTCCTATTAATTTCATGATTATTTAAAACATATGGAAAGATCAATACGTGTGAAATGGAAAAGGACAGTTGAGGAAAGGAATTTTATTTTCATGTTTGTAAGAACATATATCAAAGACTGGAAAGTTTTCTTTTCTTAAAATAAGTAAACTATTTTTTAACAATGACTTACAGATTTATGTCTTAATGTAATTTAATTTGTCTGTTATACATCAAAGTTAAGTTCTCTTTTAAATGCAAAGCTTACAGGAATACAAAGTTATTGTTGCAAATTTGCATATAGAAATTTCGGGAAATGTGGATCTTTGTCCTTGTTGTCTATAATGTTATATTATCATATTTTCTAAGGCAGCAAGAACAAAAAAATAAAGCTTTCCTCAGGTGAAGAAGGCTTTATAGTTCTGCTCTAGAATAACCATTGCCATGCAGAATTTACCTATATCAACATAATGTTATGATACGCTGGAACATAATGTGAGGACATGTAACAGTAAAGAGCCTTCAGTGGAATTGAGTTCTAGTCTTGGCCTTCATTTCTTAGCCAAGTCATTTGGGCTCATCATGCCTTGGTTCCATACATGTAAGAAGAACATAATTATAAAGGATCACTTCTCTTGGTAAGTATACACCCCTATACAAATTAATACCAAAGACAATGAAGACGGTAGCTCCAAGAACCTCATATGTATCATTTTTCCAATAACGCAAAGTGTTGCATTTGTTTTATTACCCATCTGTCATCTTTTTAATACAATGATTTGACTGAAAAACATACTTGTGTACTCTGGAATTTTTAAGTGGGGAAATACTTACTCCTTATGTTGTGGGTCAGATATAAGTGGTGTTTATAATGCCCTGTATACCCATGATCCAGAAATGTCTCTTGTGGTCCTATGGTCATTGGCTCACTTTCTACTTGACTCTCATCTAACTCAATGAAGGAAGACTGAAGACTGAACTCTGCATGGGCCAGACTCCTTGTAACTGGGTTAGCATGGCATATGAAAAACATGGGGAGTAGTAGGATGACATCTTGAGGGAGTTGGGTCCTCCTCTCTGTGGAGGCTCTGCCTAGACACTAGCATTACTGCAGGCAGCCGATCTCTGCCAGTGCCAGCCTCCTCAGGGTGTATCTGGGTGTGTCTGCTTGCCACCCTTTCCTTGACTGTTGAGATTCATACTTGGTTCTTTGGCAATGGAAATTCTGTAAGCCCAGCAGACAATTGCTATCAATTCCTGCCCTCAAACTTCCTGAAGAGTGGATTCTGTTGTCTGCAAGTAAGATCCTAGCATAAGCAGTTCAGTTTAGCTCCTAAGTACACCTGGAGCGCAAACTTACCCA